TTGTTTTTCAAAACAACATATAAGCTTAACATATTTGCAAACTAAGAAGTAAAATTGAAAAAACTGATAACTTTGCCTTCTAATTTCCTCTTGTGTTTCTGCCACTGGATAGATATACAAATCTGTTGAATTCACCAGGGGCCTGATAATGCCTGGATCTCACTGGATTTCATAAAATAAGCATTAATATAAAAAACATTTGCAAGTTTTGTTTCACAGAGTGTGCGATAAATTGTGATATCTCAGTTAATTTTTTTTTGTTTCTTCAGTTGAGGGTTTTTGTTTTGTTATTCTGCTGTTCAAGTTTGCAGTAGAAGTAAATGAAAAATATCCTTTTCTTCTTTGTCAATTTGTTGGTCTTTATGGAAGAGGCTCATACATTACCTTTTTTCCATCGGCCAGAAACTGTAATTTAAGCTGAGCAAACCCCAGAAACCTTTGTCTGAATTGGCATTTCAAGATCTCAGAGTTTAAGTGCATTCTAAATTCTTAAGTTAACTTCCACACATGACACTGAAATAGATGTTCTTTATAGTTACTTTAAATTCTATCCTGATATGCAGTAGTGAAATAGTTACTCTGTAAATTAATTTAACAATATTTTATAATACAAATTACCTACCAGGCTTACAGAGATCCAAGTATTTTATAAAATATGAAATATTTTATATATTAATATCCAAAATATATTGACTACATTGTATTTGTATGATATACAAATATGTATGGTGATGAGTACTTTTATTTTTACAAAATCTCTTAGATGAAACGTTCACTTCTTTGATTTCAGGAGCTGATGCTGTGGAGGCCCAGTGTAAGAAATTTGAAGTGAGGGCAAGCGAAGGTGGAAAAGTATTGTTTTCTGCAGATGAAGATGAGATTGTCATTGGAGCTGACAGACTGAAAGTAACAGGTACGGTAATAATAAGATTTCTAAATGGATGTAAACTTTTTTTTTTTTTTTAAACCCTTAGTAATGATAAATCTATCAGTATTCTACAAAACTTTCATCCACTGGAGAGGAAAAAGTCTTCTCATCATCAGTGATTGTTCAACCAACCAAAATATATTGCATAATCTAAAAACCAATTCCTCTAAAGGCAGAATTAAACGTAAACTCTGCAGGACCAACTATGGTAGAAAACACCCTTACCATGGTGATTTGGCTTTTATATGTTATCATGAAGTACTTTTTTGTGGTATCTATGCCATTTGTTTAAGTAATGCCCCTTTACAATGATAAAAACTATTGTTATATACTATGACCTTTGTTTTCTCTGTATACAAAGTATCAAGTCCAACTTCCATGTTAAGAGTATGTACTCTGCTTTACTTTGGGAGGCTCAGCTGAAGTGTAGTAAGTAAAAACCTTTTCTTGACTTGAACATTTGTTCAATAAAAGAAGAAAAATAATTCTCATTGATATTTCACTGTCATCATTACAGATATATGTATCAGTAACTCATTTAATATTAGAAATGTGTTACCTTATGAAAAAAAAATCAGTTACCTAAGTTTGTTTTAGATAAATGCTTTAACTTTGCTTAATAAAATCTTACATGAATTTAGGCTGGACTTGAGCTACCCACTCATAATCTAGAATAAGTTACAAAACTTGAATTGCTTCATCAGTCAGGGGTGTTTAGTTTTAGGTCAGTCTATATCTGGGAAGGCCTGCTTTACGGAGTTTGAAATCAACCGATAGTCTGAAAGTTCAATTGCATAGAAAGTATAAGATTGTTCTGATTTATGATGATTATGATAAGATCATAAAATCATAGAATATTTTGGGTTGAAAGGGACCTTTCAAAGTCATGTAGTTCAACCCCCCTGCAATGAGCAGAAACATCTGCTCAACTTTCTGGTCTGTAAAACTAAGAAATGCATTGCTTGCAACTTTAAATCTTTTAAAAAATATGTTAGGTAGTTCTACTTCTGTCTAATGACAGATATAGCATTAAAATAGACCCAGGAAGTCAGGAGTCCACCTGTGACTGAACTTTTTTCATAATCCTCAAGACTGTTGCATGCTAGTATATGTGGGATAACTTTTCTTCCCTTTTCATTCCTATCCCACCTCTGTCTGTCTTCTCTAGCCAAGCAATGTGTTTTAATACGGCTAAACCAAAAGAAAAGGCTTTTAACGAGCAGGCAGTTTAGTGATGTTGCAGTATCCAATATAATACACTAAATTGTATTGGTTTACTAAATTTGGGGTTAGGAGAGAGGGACATCAGTGTTTTGTAGAGACAGCAGCAACTCTTCATAGATAGTAGTTGTACAAGAATTTTACCATAGTAAAACTTAATAACTGGAATAACACAAGAAGAAAATAGAGAATCATACTGAATCCTGCTAAGGTTCAAACTTGATCAGAGTATTAAATACTGAAAAAATTATTCTTAATCATACAACAACACAGGAGATTTCAAAGCATCTATCACAAGTTAAAAATAAAACATATCACAAATGACACTGAGGATTAGATTTCCTCCCATTAAGAAATGTAATCATAAGTTGTAGATGTCATGGTAAATTTTTTTTTATCAGACTTCAAAAACAAATCACTGTTCAACTATCTTTAACTTCAAAGTGGCTTGAGTTCCCACAGCACCTGTTGCCATCAGCAGTATAGAAAGCAGAACGACAACGGAAAATTTATTCAGTGATGCTTAGCATGGGATATAAGGTTGTTCCTTGTGAAAAGGATTTTCTCCTTAATGCTAGAAATTCATCTGACTGTATCTGTATCTATATGAAGCTCCCCTGTCCAAAAAAAAAAAAAAAAAAAAAGAAAAAGGCCAGGAAAACCTAAGTTAATGTCGCTTTGATATATTCATCCAAGTTTCAGGGATCGCTGTATACCTGTTGAGTCCTACCAGAAAATCTCACTACTATAGTTGTTTGTACAAGTAATTGATATTCATTCTGGGGCTAAAATGAAAAATAAACAAGAATTTGATTGAATTTTTAAAGAAATTGTTTTGTTGACCTAGAAAAATTATTTTAGGTTTAAAACAATAAAAACATTGACTTTAATTGCTTGAACACACCCACACAAAAGAAAGTTTTAGGCCGCTTTTAAATATCGCAAAGAAAATACGTGTCTTAGAGGATATATCAGGTTCTAAGTGTTGTCATTTAGGTCATGAAGTTAAATACAAATTATGTTCCATTAAATAGCCTAATGTGTAACATTTTGTGCAGTTTCTTTAGAAAAAACACGTTAAGGTGTTTTGTAATTTTAATTTGAAAGTGTAACTTAGTTTTAAAAATAACTTGAAAATTATTGTCTTCTGTGTTTATTCAAAAGTAGTTTAATGAAGTGGGGATCATTCTTTCTCATCTCTGGATAATCATTTTGTCGTGAAATCAGATTTCATTAGTAAACTTATACCTTATAATGAGGCTATAAAAGGCTAGTTTTGAAATTTTATGCTTTAAAACCCTAGGGCTCACTTTAGGTTAACCCTTCCATCATCTTGTTAGAGAAGAAAAATACTATCCCACAGAATGAAGGGAAGAGTATTAGATTTCTAAATGAATAAGCATTTCTGAAAGGCTTAGAGAGAATAACCTCATGTCCCAATTTCTGTATCCCGAAAAGTTTTTCTGCAGTGTAAGTACTCATCTGCAGCCAAATAATAAAGATAATAAAGCTATAATGAGACGTCTACGCTTTACTGTTGACCTCAGTTTAAAGTTGAAATTATTTTATGTAGATTTCCCAATGGAGAGTAAAATTTATATGATCCGTGCAATCTCAAGAAAAGAACTTTCTAAAAAAAATCTCCCAAAAGGTAAAACAAAATAAGATCTATTTTAATGGAAAAATAAAATAAAAAACTCTTTCTTTTGTATAGCAGCTCTTTGCATTCTGTCCAAAGATGGTGTGATACCTTTAAATTCTTCAGCAAACACATGACAGGTAGTGAGGCTCTGTGAGTTGCATCAATTAGACTGCGTTACTCTATATGACATGATACGACTGATGAAACCTGGCAAGGCAGCATAACGTCAGACATCAACCAGAAAGGTTTTTTCTAGTGTATTTTTCTCAAGCTTGTTTTTTGATAATCACAGTGCCTTGGGGGGATACAGGAAAGGAGTTATGGAAGAACAGAGGAAAATTAATATCAAAAAGCAAAAATAAGCTATGCTTATTTGGATATGAAACTCCAAAGTAGTAGTGTGGTACTACAATGAAAACCTGATTTTATTTTCTTGCTCTAGCTATGAATAGTATCTCTTTGGAAACACTTCACTGTGAATGGGTCCAGTAAATGATGCATTTTGGTAATTAATTGTGTAGAGCATGCCCATTTCATGGTTATTTATAAACCACTGTGGCAATGGGGGATTTATTTTATATGATTTTTTTTCTCAATTCAGAAGAATGCTTTTGTAATACACAGCTTTAAAAAACAATCTATCATAAATCAGTATAATAAATTCTTGATTAATAAAAACTTGAAAGATTAAGTTTACAGCTTTTCATTGATTATTTTTGTACCATTTTTATTTGTAAATTTGCAGCCTATTCCAGGAACAAAGGTATAGTAGAAACAGGCTAGTAATCCAGATATCAATATATTTCCCAGATAAGAAAAATATGGAGTCAGAAGAAGGACTTTTTGTTTTAGATATATTGCAGCTATTACAAAGTGAGAGTCTCTCACTTTAAAATTAAGCATTTGGCTGATTTAATTTAGACTTTTTATTCTACCTTCTACTGTTACTTTTGCTTTTTCTTCTAACTGTGTTAGCTCTTTTCTACTTTGTCGTTCAAGGAAAGAAAAAAAAAAGATTCAACCTTAGGTTTTTTAGGCAGAGCTGTTAGAATTGCAGCTGACTATTGCCCCTTTGCACAGGGATGCCTCCTACTGCCCAGTTAAACGTGTATTATGGAGCTTTTTAGGGAGGGAAGAGAACATACTGCCAAAGAGCTGGGAAACAAGCAGGAATAAGGAGCTGAGTTTCTTGTGGGCTCACAGGTTCCTTTCTGCACATGGTTAAACCTTTCTCTATCCCCTATATTCACCCTGTCCCAATGAATGGACAGCATCTATAGCGTTGTGGAGTCGTCTTCACTCCCTCTGCAGTTACAGAGCAAGAGTGTCTGTTTGACTTTTACTTCTGTTATTCAAATCTTAATACGAAGTTTTCTGCCCTATGCTTTTATTTCATTAATTTCTTAACTGCAATACGATCTCTCTAAGATATTCTTGTAGCAGAACTTGAAACACTGTATTGGTCACACTGGTTGGTGAGAGTACAAGCAGGTATTGCAACTCAGCTTTATCCTGCCAGAGTACTTTTGAGAAGACAGATTAAGAAAGCCTAGCTCAATATGCATTTTTCTGAGACACTGCTACAAAAGAAGGTTGTAATTCTTTCTATAAAAACTTTCACTCTATGTGTCTCAGCACAGTTTGTTTTCCTCTTTTTTATTAAACCAAACTTGTAGTTAGGAGCTGCATAAGAAGTACTAAACAAAGTGGAGGTCACCTAGTTATAGTCTAAGCAAAACACCTATTTTTTTGGACAACATAACTGAAGTTTTTTTCTCCTCTGACTTTTGAGGTGGTTTGCTGGGTTAAGGCTAAAAGCACATTATCAGAAACTCCCGTTAAACTTACAATGCTTTATCTAAATTATACAAACATTTTGCTTTTTTTGAAAAGAATATTTCTCTCTCTGTGATTTTTGAAGAAGAGACTGCAATTTAATTCTCGTATTGCCTCCCTCATGTTCTTCTGATCTCTATACTTCCTTCAGACTTGGCTATAATGTTCTTTATTTAACCATGATTTTATCTCTGGCCCTTCTTTTAAGACCCCTAAAAAGTATAACAGAACTTGATTTGTTACAAGTTTAGGTACTTTCTTCTAAATCAGTTATACTTGCACATGT